TGCAATACTGAAAGTGAGAGTTTGGTATAGTAATTTATATAAAGGTTGGCTCGACAAGTGCATTGCCATATCATGGTCAGTTGGGTTGGTACTGGATCACAATAATTAGCTCTTGATGTATGTTTTACAAGGATTTTGACCATCTTTGACCAACCATTTGTTTGGTATATGATGTTCGTTTGTCTGTGAAGCTCTTACTAACTATTGTGGCTGCTATTTGCTTTGTCTCATGAGAGGCTATGGTGCATGCTATTAATTGTTTGGATAGCTATAGAACCAAGAATAACTAATTTTGAGGAGCTCCATGCCTCTATTGATTGTTTGTGATTGTTTGGACGAATGATAGTTTCAATCAACTTTGGTTCTTTGATTATATTTTAATTTTGTTCTTGGTAATGTTAGATACCAACCCACTGAGGTGATTATGCGAGGGTACGAAAGATGAGGAATATGTTGAACTTTTGAAAAAGTAGAATTTGGTGATAATTTTTAGCTTATTAGGGTGATTTGAATGATGATTGAATATTTATTTCTTATAATATTGAGAGCCAATAATTATCGTGTTTCTAAAAAATACTATAAAGCTCTAAACACGTCCTGTGGCGTAGCCACGGGTATTGAGTCTAGTGAAATATAACTCTCAACTCACGGTTCATTCTTTTATAGTTTTTTTTTTACTATACCTTTAAGATATGTGACATAACATAATTGCTCCTGTAGTGGTAAAAATTACTCTTTTATCACGGGATCAAATAACTATAGAATTAAACAAAGATTTTAAGGGAAGACAAATATACGCTAAAATAACAAGATGACCTATTTATCGTGAGTCGTGACCCTTCTATGTTCTCTTTGTTAAGGGAGTGGGTTCCAAATTGTATCCACTAATTCTTATGTAGATTTTTGTTCTGATTTCACTCCATTTTATATGAAAAAATAAAATTGAATACTAATAATAAATAGGCAAAATACACTTGTGTAGTCAAAACTTTGACGGTTTGGCCAAATATAGACACGTTTGGCAAAATACCAAATATAGCCACTTCCGTCCAATTGTTTCATGGTGTTAGTTAATGTGCTCACTGGACTAACAACAGCGGTTAATGTGTCAAATTTTATTCAAAAATAATATTAGGTGAAAAATAATTACAACTTTATCCTTTTATTTTAATTAAATTAAATGAAAAATAAAAAAGTATTTTTGAACCATCCATCCTTCTCTCTTTCTAAAATTTATTCTAATTAAGTTCAGTAAAACATTAAAAATCATATCAATTCATCTTCCACTGCCTCCCTCGCCCTCAACCCCACACCCACCCCAATCCACCGGCCTCTTCACTCCTGTCCGCTGCGGCCTCCTCATGAGGGTCGTATCCCAAGCACCAAAGCGATTCACGCCGGCACGCTGGGGAAATCAGGGTCGTGTCCCGAGCACCAAAACTTCTCTCTACTCCAATCCCTCTCTCTCTCTCTTCATTCCCCTTGCGTTAGTTATCCCAGCCGTCACTCCTGTTCGAAAAATCCTCCCAAATTCGCTTTCGATATCAGTCAATCCGGCAGCAAATCCGCCACTGCCTTGTCCTTATCCCTCCGATTCTTAATCAGCACCTCGCTCACGGACGCGGGGTCATCTCCGCCTTATCAATTACCGCCTTAATCTCCTTCCAAACGTCGGTGTTTCCTTCCTCGACGCCGAGATAGTCCTTCCTCGAGCGTAATCGAGTTCCCTGACTCGTCGAGCCGCCTACGGTGGCTCCTCCTCTCATCTCCACCGCCAGCCGCCTTGTAGAAGCCTGACGAGCCTCCTCCGTTTATGCTGCTCGAGCAGCCCTTCTTGCGATTCCCGAGGTTAATCGAGCATCACTCATTTGCTCCTGCCCCTCCACGAAATCCCTCGGATATCGCATGATTTCGAGCTTCTTCGCCGGATCCATGGTGGGCGACTAGCGGCGGTGGGCGATTGCTGCGACGGTGGGGTTTCCCAATTTGTGCGGTGGGTGACTGTGAAAAATGGGATCCTTTGGCTTTCCCAATTTGTTGTTCCCCATCTATCTTTGTTATTCCCCATCTCTGTTGATTGAAAATACAAGGGCAAAAGTTGAAGATGGCGAGCAGTTTGGTGGACGGGGGAGATGGAGATGAAAGGAACGATAGAGATGAAGGGAAGAATAGATAAATTAATTATTGTATTTTAATGATTTTTCATTTATGATTTTTATTTATTTTTAAATTAAAATATGACATGACATCCATGTGGCAACTGTTGGTGAGTGTCGATGATGTGTCCAGTGAGTTGGCAGCCAAGTAAGCGTTCCGTTAATTTGATTAACGATGTCACTGACGCCGTTAAAATATGTAACAGAAATGGCTATCTATATATATATACTTTTTTAGGGAAACTATATTTGTCATGAAACTTCAAAATTCTGGCTATTTTTGATATTTCGCAAAAAGTGACTATTATTGTCACAAACATGAAAATTTTGGCTAGACAAATGAATTTGGCCTAATAAATATAACAACGAGAATTACCGGCGATTGGAGCTATTTTTTTTATTACTTTTGACAGCCACCGTAATCGCCACCGCCAACATTTCCGGCCGCTCCAGAATCTTCCTTTCATTCTCTTACAGCCTGTTTGGATCGACAAAAAACTCAGGAATTGGAATTCCATTTTCAATTCCAATTCCATATTTTATGTTTGGAAGGATAAGAAGGTTGATAAATGAATTCCATTTGGGCTAAGTTTTGGGAATTACAATTCCTATCAAAAGTGATAGGAATTGTGTTTATGAAGATGGAATTAGTGGGTCCCATCACTATTTATTATTATTTTATTAACCAACTATCACACTACTCTCTTTCTCTATCATTCATATTTCATTTCCCAAGATAAAATAAATATATTATATTATTAATTATTGTTAAAAGTGCAATTCATTTCTTTAATTGGAGGAATTATACCAAACACTAAAATTGGAAATGAAATTCTATAAAAATAGGAATTGGAAATAGAATTCCATTTCCATTTCTTCTTGAATTGTATCCAAACAGGCTGTTAAAAAACAAAAACTGTGCTCCTCTAAGGTATATCAACGGCAACTTCTGGGTTTTCAGTTCGAAGCGGGAGAACGATGTTTAAGAAAGCAGTGGAGGCGAAATCGCATCAGAGGCTATCCGGAGCTGACCGAAAGAAGCTCAAACGAAACCTCAAGAGACAAATTCCCGCGTGCTTCTGATGCCGATATGGACGTCTTATTCCCACCCAAGGTGAGTTTTCTTTCAGATGGTCCCCTTCCCTTTTTGAACGAGGAATCATTGGTTATTCTCATCATTGACTGAATGTAAGGAAAGTGTCCTTAGTAATTGATGGTTTCTATGATGAGTCTTGCGTTTCAGGTGGAGATAGCAGTTGCTAAGCTTCGTAATCGGGTCCTGGTTTATAGTGTTGAAGGTGACTTCCTCATGTTGTTCGACATTGATGGCAGGGGTACTGAGATTTATCCCACAGGTTGGTGCTTCCACCATTTTCCTCCTCTACTACTACTACCACCAGAAATGTGGATTACTCTGACTCTGCAGTTGTAGTTGTTAGGGGAATGCTGCATCAATGAGTTTGTAAGCTGGATGTTGTCTTGAATTTGTTGACTCCTAGTACTGTAGAGAAATGTGCCTTTGTGATCAAAGAGTGGGAGTTGAAGGGAAACTCTTCAGTGTTCGATTTCATATTTAGGCATATGTTTGCCTAGAAGCTAGGAGAGTATCAGGTGATAAAAAAGAACAGTTAAAAAGGCAACCTGAAGTATAATTTGACCTGTTTTTTTTTTCCTCTTCAAGGGTGGGGTTTTATGAACTCTCCAAAGTGCATAACTCATTTTGGTTATCTGGTTTATGGTGGGATATTGAGTTTCACTTGTCTCTTCATGCAGTTTTTGCTCTTTGGAGAGTACCTGCACTCTTGCCTTCTTTTCTGTTGAAGGGAGGTGAGGTTTCTCTATTCATGCTTGGAGGTGCTGATTTGATGTTCCCGGGCATTAGTGTGCCTGCTGAAGGACTACCCTCCTTTAAAGTTGGTGAAGTATGGTCTGTGAAAGTTCCTAGGAACCCAGCACCTGTTGCTGTAAGCTTTCATTGTTTACATTCGGTTACTTTGCTTTCAACTTACTGTGTTTGGATCTTTTTTTTAGTTGGAGAATGGCTACTCTTGTAGTACCATGAAAAAGACAACCTTCTAATTTTCCAGGTTGGGTTAACTACTTTGAGCAGTACTGAAGCAATGAAAGCTGGTCTGCGTGGCAAGGATTTAAGAATAACACACTATTACAGGGACTCACTTCGGTAATTATGCTGCACACTGTTTGAGATATTCATCTGGGAAACGCTGTCGCTGAGTTGAAATGTGGCACTGCTTGTAGAGAGTCAGTGGACGGTCACTTTGTGCCTAATGCAGGTTTCTTGGAGGATATTGTTATTGAGGATCTGGCTGCCTCTCTAGTGGCCCAAGATTCTGATTCAGCTGAAGGTCTTGATCGTCATTCTCCACATGATGAACAGGACGGCAAAACAACTGACGAAGTTGAGAAATTGGCTGTAGCAAATGACGCAATGGATCATCTTCCTTCGTCATCAACCGAAGCTTCCAAAAGTCAAGTTGAACAATTAAATGTAGAGGTTGGTAACTTGAAGGTTTCAGATAATGTTGGTGATGAATCAGCTGCTGAGGAAGAACAGCATACCTTATCTGCCGAGGAAGTGGATAGTTTGTTGGACAATTGTCTTCTGCAAGCCCTTCATACGACTGTTAAAGACAAGGATCTATCGATGCCTGGAAGCACTTTATGGTAACATCTGTTGTGTTCTTGGAATTGATGTACTGTTTTACCAAAAAGTAAAGGAAACAGAAAAAGGAACTGATTAACTGAGGTTGACTATTTTGATCAGCTGGCTTTGGAAGCTTGTTTCCCAGATTTATATGTTTGTGAAATTTTGTGTGTCCACTAAGTTCGTTTTTGCTTTGGTTTTCAATTTTGTTAGTGTTTCACTCGCACCTTGTAGGAAACCTATTTTTAGGGTTCCAACGATTGTGTTGGGAAATTGGAAATTGGTAGAGATTTAGGGATTTAGAAGAGAATTAGGGATTAGGAACAGAATTAGGGAAGAACAGAAAGAATGGCCGAAGCCTCTAGAGAGAAGGATAGACGAGATTTTGAGAGAAAGAGATTAGGGATTTGGGGAAGGAGGACTTTTCTATTAATTTCTGCTTAATATGATGAATGACCCAAAGTACATATATATAGGGAAATACTAGAAAACCCTAATAATAAACCTAATTCTACTAGAAGACTACTTACCATAAGAATTATCCTAATAATAATATTAATGATAAACACGAAAAATCGTGTTTCTAACATCTCCTCCCCTTCAGACCAACCTTGTCCTCAAGGTTGTCCGTCTTGAACCATTTCTTCCAACCTTCTCGTACAATCCGATCGTCTCTTCTTTGCTTCTTACGCTTCCTTTTCTTCCAGTTATGCTCAAGCTCGCTAGCAAATCTAACATCAACAGTCCCTGCTTGCATCAATCCTCCACTTCTCACACGACTCATATCATGAGGATCAAAGCTCAATGAGCCCTTATCCTTCACTTCGAATTCCATATAGTAATGGTCCAAGGACATGTAGCACTTATTCTCTCCACTGCCACTCTCCCACTTGTCCCCAGCAAGCGAAACTCCAAGTGTTGACAAATGCTGCGAGCTGATACCTCCTGCCTCACAATGGCTCCAAGAAATGTCCCATGTGCACCCTCAATGAGCTCTTTTCCCGCCACCGCTATATCGTTCCCCATCTAGGACTTGGCGGCGGTCCAACTCTGTATATACTTCCTTCATCAGTGGGACCATGGCTAACGGCGCCTCCATTTGGCGCCAAAACTCCCCACTTTCATGGCAGCACAAGACATTAATTAACCTTTTCCACAAACCAAGTCCGTCTAATAGAACGATGGACTCGGCCACTCGTGCTCCAACGGCAATGCCGCTCTTCTTGGTCGCGACAGATGGCTCGGCGATGATCAACAAGGTCGGTGGTGCGGGAAGCTTGTGTGGCGTCGTTCTACCACTCATGGAATCCAATTCGTTGACCCTTCGGCCCACTTCTATTGGGCCGTTCAGATATGCGGTCCAAGGTGGACGACCCAACGAAGCCCATACTGCTGAAGAGGACTGGCGACCTAGTTTTTGCACGAGGAGAGACGTCGCCGCCCTCCTTCTCCATCTCGTTCGCCAGCAGCAGCCCTCCGACGTATTTCCTAGCGCGGAGCAGCCCACCCGACGATCCGAGAGCCATCCCGTCGCTTGCCTCGTCTTAGACATCATTCCCGGCGGCAAGCAGTTCAGCCGACGGTGAGGAATCGAACCGGCTTTCGGCCTTCGAAGCTGCCTCTCCCTGTCATTCGACATGACAAACGGCGCTGTCTCTGCCTCGTTCTCCGCCGGCGACTCGCGCCGGCTTCTTCTCCGATTTTTCCTCCGGCGTCGAGCGGCTTCCTTGGCAGCTAGGTAGATCCGCCGCCTCATTCAGCGGTGGCTCTTCTCTCCTCGATGGCGACGAGTCAACCCGGGTGTTCGTCGTCTCGGCAGTCAACGCCCAGGCTGGGGCTAGCGTCGATTGCAGCGTCGGAGGAGCTCCTTGCATGGCCGGCAAAGAAACCCAACGATCCTGCTTTGATTCTTGTCGTCGAATGACGGCAACGGAGCACTCCTCCTTCGCGATACCCTCTGCAATGACCGTCGACCCATGACCGTCTTCTTTCTCCTCTCCGGTTGGTAGTGAAGGCGCGGTGCTTATTGCAGCTTTGTCAGCGGTGATCGTCATCTCCTGGCCTATGGCAGGCGATCGGATCGTTGATGACGTTGGTGAAGCATAGAGACGGGGCGTCGCATTTGGGCCGGCGCCAGACAGCTCGACCGCCTGCTCTTCGGGCAGCCAACGGCGACCGATGCGACGGGCTCTGTCCCGCAATTCTGCCCACGACAGGTTCGAGAGCTTTGAAGAGCTCATCGTCGAACCAGTTGTAGAACTCGTCCCCGGTTGAGAGTTGTGGCGAACTCAATTCTCGAACCGGGCTCTGATACCAGATGTAGGAAACCTATTTTTAGGGTTCCAACGATTGTGTTGGGAAATTGGAAATTGGTAGAGATTTAGGGATTTAGAAGAGAATTAGGGATTAGGAACAGAATTAGGGAAGAACAGAAAGAATGGCCGAAGCCTCTAGAGAGAAGGATAGACGAGATTTGAGAGAAAGAGATTAGGGATTTGGGGAAGGAGGACTTTTCTATTAATTTCTGCTTAATATGATGAATGACCCAAAGTACATATATATAGGGAAATACTAGAAAACCCTAATAATAAACCTAATTCTACTAGAAGACTACTTACCATAAGAATTATCCTAATAATAATATTAATGATAAACACGAAAAATCGTGTTTCTAACACACCTGAATGATCTATGGCTTCCGACATGTCCAAGTCTTGAAGAACCACAAGCACCCACTCTGCCAGTAGTGTTCATTACTATCTTCTAAACCTCGACCTAGTATCCCCTTTTAGGAATGGCAGTGTTAAACGAGAAATTAAGTGATGATCCTGATTTTGGAATACTTATAATATAGCTTCATTAGTTCTTTGCTTTTTATAGTGAGTTCAGGAGCTCGTATCATCTTTTCTAAAAAAATGGCGTGGTTCACTTTTGGGGTGAAAATTAATCAGATTTGGGTACCGAAGAACTTAATCTTTGCATGAGCATAACTCCTGTTATAGTGATAGCTGTGATTCCTGCTATAGTGATAGCTCGTGTCATCTCTTGCTAGTTCAGTATGATGCTTGTTGAGTCATTCTTCCCTTTCGCACATCTTTTGGCCTTGATGATAAATTTCCTCGATAGATGAAACTTTACTACATGACATTTGACAGCTTCCGCTCTTGTTTCTCTTATCAATGTAGGTCAAATCATATTTTTCTTTGCAGACCTTCTGGTATCACGTTGGATATTAAGAAATCAACCTACAAGAAATTGTCGAAGTGGTTACAAGCCAAGTCTTCTGAAAATTAGTACGTTCCTGTATCATCTCCACGTCACACCAACATTATCTTGTTTCACGAATAAATTGAACTTAGCCATGGAGCTCGAATCTGTGATATCAATCGTCAAGCTCTTGTAGACAACAAACTTAGAACTAAATTGAGTGAACTTAGGTAGGTATACCTCTTCAAAAGAAAAAAGAAAGAAAAAAAAAAAGAAAAAACAGGTAGGCCTACGATGTAGGCAGGTAATGGAACTAGGAGATCTTTGATACTGAAAGCAGACTTGATCCATTTTGATTTCATAGAACTCACTAATTTAGTTTTTGAACCTAGCAGCTGCAAAGACGGTCTTGGAGATTTGTGTGGCAATCTCTTAATTGAAAGTGTATATCTTTGTTGAATTCAGACATTCAGTCATCAATATGTAGCAACATATCTAGCTTACAGTTACCAAGATGTTCTAAGCGTGAATTGCTCATGAAAACAGTGTTTTCACTCATTAACACATAACAGTGAAGGAAGATAAACACAAGAAGGAAACAGTGTTAGTTTCTGTTAACCGAAACCACCCGGACTACACATCCTTCAGGCCGGAAAAAAGGGAGGAACAGAAAACCGAACAAGCAACCAGTGGAGGAAGCCAATCACAGCAGACACTTGAAGTGGTGGAGATATATAACCGAGTTCTCACGTGAACCCTATTTTCCCTCTGTTGGAGCGGATACAGGGAGGCTCTACAGTGGTTCAGAAGCCTCTGATGTTGTCTTCCAGTACGTCGAGAAAGAAAATCTGGTGAAGCCAACAGACAAATCAACTGTTGTCTTGGATCCACCACTATGTGATGCTCTGTTCAAGGGTGCCATCAAGAAAGGATCGACATATCACAATGTGATTCACAAGAAAGATCTTGGATCGACGTTTTGGCAGGATGCAGCCACACCATTTGGTGATTAGAGGGGGCGAGTCAGTGGTTGGCAAAGGCACCCTGTAAGTGTTACAGATAGTGACAGAGAGGCTGTCGGGTAACAAGAAGGTGGCGAAGCTCTCGGGCGTGGAATCATTCTTGATCGATGCGGATATGCTGGCATCCGAACTGCAAAAGTTTGCTTGCAGTACATCAGTTGGAGAGCTCCCAGGTGTGTTTCGTTTACTTCTGTTCATTTCTATTTTTGGTACTCTAAAACAATGTGACTAATCTTCTGTGGGGATTAAGGTAAGAAAGGGCATGAAGTTCTGATCCAAGGAGGTAAATTGATGATGTGGCACGGCTTCTGGTTGAGCACTACGCCATTCCAATGAGATACATCGAGGTTATGGATAAAACCAGGAAATGAGTCTGTAGGAGGTTGATGAATGCAACTTGGTCGTTGGACAGTTTTACATTCGGCGAATTCACAATTTTCGACTGTTTCGCTGTGAGAAAAGTCTTGAGGATGAAAGACTCTCTCCATGCCTGCGCATCTCATGAATTCACTCTCTGGTAAATGGCTTATGATTTGTTGTTATTACCTATCTGTTCGTTTTATATTCTATCCTTCGCAATTTTTTTTTTTTGCGCTTATATATTTGAATGCATAGACATTTTTATAAACTCTGCAGAATGTTCCTGCTGTTGGTGCTTGTTTGGTAGAAATGTATACTGCAAACTAGGATTAGATGTTCATAAGTGAAGAGGTTAGTGTCACAGGCTCCCAGCAAAATTAGTGGTTAGGTAATATGTTTGGATGATGGCAAGAAATTTCGATAGCCTTGTTTATGATGGCCACCTCCCTTTAATTGTCAAATTGTGAATTTAAAAATGGAAAGATACTGTTTTTCTATGATAATGACAGAAACTAGATTAGGTGAGGAAGCAATATTAAAGAGAGTTACTATTTGCCGCCCGTCTCTTTACTATTTGTCGCCCGTAAATTAAACTAAAATGACATTTTACCCTTTGTTCATTTTTTATAAAACAAACCCCATTCCACCACTACTGTCGCCGGCGCCAATCCACCACCGCCGCCAAATCGCCGACGTCGCCACCACCTCCAGATTACCACCGCGGCCAGAACCAAATCACCACAGCCGGAGGGAGGGCCCGTCCGACGCTGGCGGGAGGACCCCGTCCGACGCCGGCGAGCGGACCGTGCATTAGCGACGGTTTCAAAACCGTCACAAAATTCGTCGCTAAATGATAATAATTATTTAACTCAATCTTCTATTTTTTTTAATATTATATCATGCTAATAATTATATGTATGTTTATTAATTATATTTATGAATTAGAAAAACTAAAATTTATTCATAGGAAAAAAATTAAATTATAAAAAATATTGTACAAACTAATTCATACTTATTTTATATTTATGTAAGTAGAGCTAAAATAAATAAATTCAGTATAATAGCAATTAAATAATTATAGTATGTTAAATAATTACAAATGATCTGAAGTAGTGTATAAGAGAATGGATATTTAATCATAAATTATCATAAATATTGTATAAACTTATGAATAATTCATTTTAATTATGTAGAATAGTTATAAAATATTTATAAATTTTGATTAAACCTTTTTTAATTGTATTTATTTCATATTTAATAAGATCATCGTACCTAAATTATGTTTTATAAAACTTCCAAGGAATCGAGGCACGAAGAGGACTCTTTGCGACTCAGGGAAGGTCGGGCAAAAAACATCTTTTAACAATTACTAGAGTCACCGACATGAAAAAATATTGAAACTTTCATCGATCTCTTAAAATGTGGATACAAATGTGTTGGAATCGATTGTTTATCAATCGGACATTCCCGACAAAAAGAGATGAATAGTGCCAAAACTTTCATCGAGGTGTTTTTAGGGCTCTGGGGGTGGTAACTAGGAGTTTCTTGAGCCTATCACGTATATTTCCACGAGACGAAATATTATTGTTAGTGGAGGAAGAGATGATTTTGCCTCTAAAATAATTTCCTAGTAGGATTGGATGGATCGAGGTTGAAGGTAGCTATTCAAGGGGAATGAGGATTTAGGGTTTCAGAGGAGTATAAGGTATAGGAGGTGGATGAGATGTTTTCCTTCTTTATTGTCATTATTGGTCCAGTTGAGTCGAGTTGATTCTTATTGTTGTTATCCGTCATCTTGGGTGAGATTATTTCAACTGTGGTCAAACCCTAATTAAGTCAAACCCTAATTCGAATCAAACCCTAATTAAGTCAAACCCTAATTCCCTCAAACAACTATGGTCAAAATAATATATAATTTAGTCAAACCCTAATTCGGGTCAAACCCTAATTAAGTCAAACCCTAATTATATCAAACCTTAATTCGGGTCAAACCCTAATTAAATCAAACCTTAATTCAGGTCAAACCCTAATTCGGGTCAAACCCTAATTAAGTCAAACCCTAATTTCCTCAACCAACTGTGGTCAAATAATATATAATTTAGTCAAACCCTAATTCAGGTCAAACCCTAATTAAGTCAAACCCTAATTCCCTTAACCAATTGTGGTCAAATTAACAATTATATACTAATTATTCAACTATCAATATTAAACTAATTAAGATACTAACAATTGTATTTAAAATAAATCTAATAAATATTTATTTAAACCGAACCATTCAAACCGAATCATAAACCCAATCAGATCGGTCCGACCAGACCGGGCGGACGGGGTCCGACCAGACCGGGCGGACGGGGTCCGACCAGACCAGTCGGACGGCGACTGAAAAAAAAAAAAATTCCCTCCGCCGAGCTTGGGAGGTTGGTGGCGGCGAGAGCGAGCGAGGAAGACGGCGGCGGCGGAGGGAGGAGTCGGCGGCAGGAGGTTGGCAGGAGGGAGGAGTCGGCGGCGGCGGGAGGTCCGGCAGGAGGAGGGTCTTCGCGGCGGGAGGTCGACAGGAGGAGGGAGGGTTGAAGGGGGCGGCGGCAGATGGGTTGAGGGTGGGATAGGGTTAGGGGCAAAATCGTCTTTTTATTTCTAACTACGGGCGGCAAATAGTAAAACTGCGGGCGGCAAATAGCGATTCATATATTAAACAATGACCCAAGAAAAAGTCATAGAGCCAACCTCCTTTATGCTAACAAAGAAAGTCAACCCTCCACATCCCAACCATTGCTCCGAACTTCAATTCACAATTAGTTGTTATGCAGAGGTGGTCCCTTTGCCATGCTAACTATAAAGTAAACAGATCAAGATCCCCCCACTCTGATGGCTTCCTCCTCTTCTGAAGCTTTAATGTCTTCTTCTTCTTCCTCTTCATCTCATAGGGTCATGGATAATGTGAAGTGGGAGTACGATGTTTTTGTGTGCTTCAGAGGAACCGACACCCGCAACGGTTTTACTAGCCACCTCATGGAAGCTCTCTCCCGTGAGCAAATCAAAGTCTTCCTTGATGACATGCTCGAAAAAACAGAGTGCATCGACGTGCTGATCACTTTGCTCCGAAGATCAGCACTCTCGATTGTGATTTTCTCGGAAAATTTCGCAGATTCAAGCTGGTGCCTGGATGAAGTGGCCACCATTTCTCAAAGCATGGAAGAATTTGGCCACCGGGTACTTCCAGTTTTCTACAAAGTGGACCCCTCCGAAGTTACCGAAGATTTTGGAAGCTATGCTAATGCCATTGAGCGGAAATATGGAGCCAGACCTCCAAAGTTTTGGAAAAGGAAGCATAGAGCTAGTAAACCTCTGGAGGATAGGAAGAGAAGGCTGGATGCTTTGAAAGCTGTGGCTAATTGTGCTGGACATACCTCGCAAGCAATCAAGTAAGCATTCCTTACTCCTAATTAAGATTCAATTTTCTTCCTATCTTACTAAATCCTTGGTTCTCTCAACTTCTATTTCCATTTTCTCATTGGATTTTTTTCTTCCTCTTTTCCCTTTGTTTGGCCTTTTTAGGATTGACTCTGAGTTAATTAAGGCAATAGTGAACGATGTTCTGAATAGACTTGTAGACATGTCACCAAGAGTAAAGTCTAATATATTGATTGGCATGGATGCTCGCGTTTCTGGGGTTGAACGCCTATTAGCTATGAACGAAGATGCATTTCGAATCATTGGACTTTGGGGGATGGGTGGTGTAGGAAAGACCACTCTAGCTAGGGTTTGCTATCAAAGGTATACGTCCTTGACTAAAGAAATCAAGCATTACTTTGTTCGAAACATCAACCAAACTTGTGAAAAGGAAAATGGAATGGAAGGAATCGTAACAAAACTCTATTCAACCCTATTGTCCGAAAGTAACATAAATTTTGATGACTTGGATGTTAGTTATAGAAGAAGTCGACTTTCCCGTTTGAAGGTGTTCCTTGTTTTTGATGATCTGGGAACTTTGTCACAATTAGAACAATTGTTGTTGGGAGATCTCTTGAGTTCCACCCATCTCTTTGCCGCAGGAAGTAGAATTATTTTTACAACTAGAAATCGAATGGTGCTTGGAAATGTAGGGGCTAGGATTTACCATGTTGATTTTTTGGATCCTGATGAATCTCTTCAACTCTTTGGTATACACGCATTTGGAAGGTGCCTTCCACCTGATGATTGGATGGAATTATCACATCGGGCTCTATCTTATTGCAAAGGAAGCCCTTTGGCCATAAAAGTTTTTGGAGGTGCATTATCAGATAAGGACAAAAATTATTGGCTGAGTTTCTTAGGTGATATGCGACAGATTCCAACCCCAGGAATCCATGATGTACTGAAGAGAAGCTACAACGCACTGGGAGTTGAGGAAAAGAGATTTTTCTTGGACATTGCTTGTTTCTTCTACGGGACAGTAAAATCCATATTGATACAATATTACCATGCCCATTATGTACTCGAGAATCTAATCGATAAGTCCTTGTGCATTTGTGTGAGGGACGATCTCGGTGAGAGGATTCAGGTGCATGACTTGCTAAGAGAAATGGCTTGGAGCATTGTCAATGAGGAAACAAAACTCGAAAACCGCACTAGGTTGAAGAATATTGATGACATTCACAAACTACTAACAACAAGCTTGTCCACAAATGGAGGTAGAGCAACTGAGGGCATATATTTGGACCTTTCTCAAGCCAACGAGATGCGACTGGAAGCCAATGCCTTTGAAGGGATGACTTCTCTTAGATTTCTCCGCTTCTTCTATCCACGAAATGAGTATGGAACTATCAAAATTCATGTATCGTATGGTGGCCTTCACATTCTTCCTAATAGTCTGAGGTGGTTGATATGGCACAAATTCACTGCAAAATCTTTGCCATCAACATTTTCCCCTGACAACCTTGTCACACTTTCTCTACGAGGTAGTCCAGTAATGGAAAGATGCTGGAAAGTTGAGGTATGTTACAATTTTTTTTGGGATGAGTTCAATTTTTGGAACCCTTGGATTCTCCCCATGTGATTCAAAGGCTGTGATACAAGGAGGTAAAGGCGGTAATACAAAATGTGGAAAATTGATCTTTTATCTTAGTGGAATTAAATATCTTCTCTCTTATCTATGTTTTCTTTTATTTATATATATGTAAAGTTGTTAATCTTAAAAGGGGTTATGCCTTGCAGGCAAAGCTTGTGAATCTAGTGTGGCTTGACCTCTCCAACTGCATAAATTTAGTTGCGATCCCGGACCTATCGTGGTCGTCGAATTTAGAGTACCTCTATCTCCAAGGATGCAAAAGCCTAACTGAGCTGCCATGTAATGTTGGAGATCTAGACAAGCTGACAAGACTCGACCTAAGTGATTGTACAAATCTGCGGAGTCTTCCGGCCAACCTCAACTCGAAGTGCCTCAAGGATGTTCGATTGTCTAACTGTCCCAAGATCACTTCTTGTCCGGAGATCAGTTCAGGAGAGTTGGAGGTTTTGGATTTAACGGAGACACCTATCATAGCCTTGCCAGCTGCAATTTACAATATAAAGCAGGGTGGCTGGTTACGTCTATGTGGTAAACACATCTCCAACTTCCTTCCCATTTCAGCAAGCTTGAAGGTGTTTCGCTTGTGCCATACCGCAATGAGAGAGATGGATTATTATAATGATGATGATCGTCAACAAGGTTCTTTGCCAAGATTTGTTCGCTTGGAGTTGGTTGACAACCCCCAACTTAAGAGCTTGTCAAGGAATATCTGGAAAATGGTCTCTCAAATACTAATTCTCCAGGATTGCCAGGCGATTGAAACTTTGCCGAGGATCTCACAGCCTCTGACTGGCTTAACTGAGCTTAGGATAAGAGGATGTCGAAACCTGAAGAGCTTTCCAACCGGTATCAACCATCTGAAATCTTTACAGGTCCTCCATTTCACTGGCACAGATATTAAGTCGCTGCCTTTTACTATTCATGAACTTGACCAGCTCTCCACTTTAGTTTTGTGTTCCAACAAAAGCCTAGAGTTCATCCCGAGCAACATCCATAAGCTTGTGAAATTGTCACACTTGATCTTGATGGGCTGTTCGAGTATTAAATTTTTGCCAGAACTCCCATCTAATCTTCTAAATTTGGATGTAAGTGGTTGCACATTGTTACAAGCCTTACCAAGCAACATAGGCAGGCTGAGATGGAAGGAGCTGTACTTTGAAGATTGCCCGCAAGAGGGTACACATCTGCCTCAAGAAGTAGTGCTTAATTTCCATAATCATGCAGTGTGCAATCTACATCCTCAGGTATTTAGACATTACAATACTATATAATTATGTTATATTTATGATTGGCAGTGGTGGTAAATATTGAAGATCCTTTTTACGAGATTGCCTATCTGTTGGTATAGGGTGTTGTTCAACATTCGGGGAGTGAGATTCCGAAATGGTTTGCTTACAAAAGTGCGAATTATAAGAATGATTCATGTATGATGGTGCAATTGCCTCCAAACTCCACCATTAAGCGGCTAATCAAAGGGATTGCATTTGGTGTTGTATGTTCATCGGACATTGGGCACGTTGCGATATCTATGACGTGCGATTGCAACATCGGCACTGCTACTGCTGTTGCTTCTTGGAGTTCTCCTGGTTTCGGTTTTGGTATGACCCAATCAGATAACGTTTATATGTGGTATGACAAGAACTTGTTAGGTGAGACCAAGCAAGGAATGCTAGCAGAAGCAGAACCTTGGTATGTGAGATATGCTGGGCGCACTGTTTCCTTCAGGTTTTCCCTTCAACCAGGTGAGGAGGAAGATCCCGAGAAGCTAAAGAGCATCAAAGTCAAAAGTATTGGTATCTCCCTACTTTACTAACTAATTGTTTGATGGTCTTTGATTGTTGTAAGAATATCTGTCCTTTTTATACTCCTTTTAGACAATTCGTAATTTGAGGATTCAAATGTGGTGTGCAAAGAGACTAAACAAATTCATTCCAGACAATTAGAGTTCTAGGTTTTCCTTGTGTAGAGATGTCAGTAGTGAGATTTGCCAACCAGTGGTGGAAGAAGATGCCGAGCAAGTAATAGAGAAAAGGGCAAAAGTTTGTTGTTGTTGTTTCCCTGTAATGTTGTTCAACTATTTGTCCCTTTAGCACATCTTTTGTACATTTTATGGTTGCTGCATATTTTTTGCTAGTGTTGTATCTGTATCTGCATCTGAATCGTTCATTTTCTTCTGGGCCTCCAAGTTTTTCTCAGAGCAATTAAGTGTGTGTATTGAGCAGTCTCTTTTAGACATTATGTAGTTGCTGCGAATGTGTGTTGAATCTGCATCAGGGTGTAACAAAAGTTTAATCTGCAAATCCCACCACGAGTACTTCTTTTCAGTTCTTCATTGAGAAACAGAGCTGAATTTACATTGGACACTGCAAATCTGATCTGCCGCCCTCGAAGAAGAAGCTTGGGTTCTCTAAGTGGTGGATCTCTCTGTTTCAAGTCTGATATTCACTAACTTTCTCTTCAATGCCTTTTGAATTGTCGTGCAAATATCTGAATGTATTGACATATATATGAACTCTGTAAAAGACTAGAAATATAAACTGCAGCTAGGATTCGAAGTTTAGAAGACAAGATTTTAGTGTCATTGGATGATGGCGAATGTTGGCAAGAAGTTTTGTATATGGCGACCACCTCTCTTTAATTGTCAATTTGAGAATTTAAAATGAAAAAGGTACTGTTGAGGTTCGTCAGGCTCGAACCCGACTCGAAGGATTAATTGCTCAACTCTGAGTCAATGGTTGAAGAAGATTGTTTGCGGCGTTAATTCGTGATTTTCCAAAGGGGCGTTTTCCATACCCAGAACAACTAATGTTAATCATTCCTTGCCTTAAACTTGTACATACGTGACTGGTCAATCTTAGTTGTTAGTTAGTGTTTGTATGTTACCGTTATGTTCAAGTGTAAGTAAACAGTTAGGATTCAATTGTAGCCAGCCAAGCCAACGCCAGTTTTCGTGGTGAATCGGAAGCCCAGGTAGTAAAACAGATGTCCCTGGGCAGATTCCCCACCTGAAGCACCCAAGCCCGGTTTTATTTGGGTCGGATCTGGAAAGTTATGAAGCCCAATCAAGAACGGGCGGGCCTGGTCTTCAAGCTTGTGAAAGAAACAAACGCGTCGCCTCAGCGGCGGATGAAAGACAAGAAGTTCTCTGTCTGCCTCCACGGCAATGGGTTCTTTGCCAAGATTTGTCGACAGTGGATCCAACTCAAGAGCTTGTCAAGGAATATCTGGAAGATGGTCTCTGACAAACTTGTTCTTGAGGATTGCCCATCGATTGAAAGTTTGCCGAAAATCTCACAGCCTGTAACTGGCTTGACTCATCTTATCATAAAAGGATGTCAAAACCTGAAGAGCTTTCCAACTGGTTTCAACCATTTGAGATCTTTGCAGGGACTTCATTCCACTGGCACGGATATTAAGTCCCTGCCTGTTTGCATCCAGGAACTTCACCAGCTCTCCCATTTAAATTTGTCTTCCAACAGAAGTCTCGAGTTCATCCCGAACATCTGCAAACTTGTCAAGTTGGCCTACTTGTCCTTGACAGACTGTTTAAGGATTCGATGTTTGCCGGAACTCCCACCCAATCTTCTAACTCTGGATGTAAGTGGTTGTGAATTGTTACAATCCTTACCAAACAACTTAGGCAGGCTAAGATTGGAGTCACTGTTCTTTGAAGATTGCCCGCATTTGGACACGCATCTGCCTAATGAAATGGTGCACAATTTCCTTAATCATGCAGTGTTGAATCCACATCCTCAGGTATGCCAATATTATTATATAGTATTATAGCTAATGTTTGTCATATATATGATTAGCAGTGAGGAAATTTTAAAGATCCTTTTCATGAGAGTGCCCATCTATTGGTAACAGGGTGTTCTTCAATACTCGGGGAGTGAGATTCCAGAATGTTAAAAACGCGCTGCTACCGATCGGGAAATCGCCGGAATCGACAAAGCAAGAATACGAAAGCGAGAATCGAAAGAACACAGACACACGATTTACGTGGTTCACTAACACGATGTGTGTTAGCTAGTCCACGAGCGAGAGAGAGCCAGTTTCACTATATCGAGGAGATTACAGAGGAGTATGAGAAGTATTTATAGTACTTCTCCATGTGGGTCTAAACCTAATCCAATCTAGCAAAGGAAACGGTTACAGACCAGACCCAGAACCCGAACCCAAATAACCCCCGGTTACCAGTCGTAGCGGCTGATAGTCTGATTCAAGTCATATCAACACATAATGGTTTGCTTACAAAAGTGGGAATCATGAGAATCATACATGTATGATGGTGCAATTGTCTCCTCCAAACTTCACCGTTAAGCGGCCGATCAAAGGGATTGGATTTGGTGTTGTGTGTTCTTCGGTTGTTGGGCACGTTTGGATATTGATCACTTGCGATGGCAACGTTGGCACCACTACCGCTGCCTCTTTGAGTTCTCCTATCTTCGGTTTGGGTCGAAACCAATCAGATAACATGTTTATGTGGTATGACAAGGACTTGTTGGGTGGGACCAATGAAGTTATACGAGGAGAAGCAGAACCTTGGTATGAGAGATATGATGGGCGCTCTGTCTCCTTCAGATTCACCCCTAAACTGGAAGATGGAGAAGATTCTGAGAAATTAAAGAGCATCAAAATCAAAGGGGTTGGTGTCTCCCTAATGTACTAGCCTGCTGATAGCTAGTTTGATGGTCTAGCTATGATTCTGGTAGTCTGGATTACTTGTTTCTGTTTCTTACCAGGTTACGGCCTCACTCTTGCTAGTTCAGTACAATGCTTGTTGAGTCATTCTTCCCTTAGCACATTTTTGGGCCTTGATGATAAATTTCCTGGATAGATGACACTTTAGTACGTGACAGTTGACAGCTTTCACTCTTGTTTTTCATGTTTTGCCTTGCAGACCTTCTGGTATCATACTGGATATCAAGAAATCTACCCACAAGAAATTGTTTTAAGTGGTAACTAGCTAAGTCTCCTGCAAAATTGGTTCGTTCTGGTACCATCTCCCTGCCACACCAACATAACATTGTTTCATGAATAACCTGAACTCAACCATTGAGCGCGAATCTGTGATAGCAATCATCAAGCTCTTGTAGACAGCAAACTTGGAACTCAATTAAGTGGATTTGGGCATAGGCAGGTAAAGGATCAGGGAGATCGTTGATACTCAAAGCAGACTTTATTAGTTTTTATTTCATAGAACCCACTCATGTAGTTTTTTTAAGCTAGCAGCTGCAAAGACTGTATTGGAGATTTGTGTGTCAATCTCTTGGTAACTGAAAGTGTCTATCTTTGTTGAATTTAGTCATCAATGTGTAGCTTCATATCTTGGTAACAGTTACCAAGATGTTCTAAGCGGGAATTGCTCATCAAAACCTGAACAAGCAACCAGTGGAGGATGCAGCCACACCATGTGGTGATCAGCGGGGGCGAGTCAGTGGTTCGCAAAGACGCCCTGAAAAACCGTACAGATAGTGACAGAGAGGAGGTCGGGCAACAAGAAGGTGACAAAGCTCTCGGGCGTGGAATCATTCTTGATCAATGCAGATATGCTTGCATCCGAACTGCTGAAGAAATTTGCTTGCAGTACATCAGTTGGGGAACTCCCAGGTATGTTTCATTTACTAGGGGATGTTAGGTTCGGTTTCTGTTTTTGGTAACGCTAAAACAATGCAACTAATCTTCTCCCATGGGGTTACAGGGAGGAAAGGGCATGAAGTTCTGATCCAAGGTGGTAAAATCGACGATGTTGCGCAGCTTCTTGTTGAGCACTATGCCATTCCAAAGAGATAGATCAAGGTTCTGGATAAAACCAGGAAATGAGTCTGTAGGACGTTGATGAATGCATTTGGCCGTGGGATGGCTTTACATTTTGCGACTTCAAATGCTCCATTATTCGTTTGTTTTCGTTTAAGGTGAGCTCCCAGAGGTCGTGGTGTCTATGCAAGGAAGGATGCAGTCGAACACCATTGTTCATTTGGAAGCATTTGAGTTCTAATTTTGTTCATTGTAGTGACGTTATTAGTAGTTACCCACTCGTGAAACCGTGCTCTCCTGTTCTTCTATTCGCCTTTGTAATCAACGGAGTTACCAGGCTAACGGGCAGCTATAGCGACAGTATCTCAGTATCTGCCTATGTCCTGTAACCACCACCACCACCAGGACCAGCAAAAAAAACACTGGTTTGCATACCTGCTGCAAAGGTTCATTCGTCATTTTGATTGGACCGTGTTGGAAAATTGCACGCGATGGATAACTATGGTGTTAGTGAATGATATATGATACACGATTGAATTTCTCCCGACAATTCGAATTATTGGGATCAATTGGTTCTTGACATGATATTAGAACCTTATGTGACCGAAATGTCTTGTGTTCGAATCCTGGTGACCTCCGTTTGTGAAGCACATGGTATTGTGTATTCAGACATTTGCAAATGAAAGCCATTATGAGTAACTGGCTTTCGTTGCTGATGCGGCTGGAGTTTAGCAAAGGTCAGCTAGTAGCTCAGTTGCCTAGTCCAACTCCCTCGATCCTCGTCTTGCGGTTTACGGCTCCCTTCCCTATGTTTGTTTCATGCTTACGGCGCCCGCACCTGTCAGCTGGTTTCAGTTTTTGGTTATTTGTTCTCTTGGCTTAATCTTCAATTCTGCAGACAGCAGACATTACGTGTACAAACAGTAGTATAAAATAGTTTGGGAAAAAGTAAAACAATCTGCATGCGTTAGCCGGTATCAAATGTAAAACGACAGGTGAGAAGGCGGTGTCAATTGTGTGATTGGATTGCGGCTGGGGCGACGGGTACCTTACGAAAACAAAAACCCACACGTTGTTTTCACATCATCATTGGAAAGCTCGAAGTTCCCTATTATGCATTTCGGTGTTTTTTTTACAAATAGAACACTTTTTTTTATAGCAAATAGAACACTTCACTCTATGGAATCGATGGAGTTATAGGATGGGACGAGTTTGGGTGAAAATGGTTTATTAACCATTATTCTTAGGATTACGGTTTGAAAACCGTAACCATTTTTAGGATTACTTGCATGCGCTTCTAGGGAAACCCACTCACTTCATCCTAGACAATTATATCCGAACTAGCGTTGGCCCCGGTCATTTGGCCGGAGGAAGGTGAGGTATGAAATTTGATAATATAATGGGGTGTATAGCTTATTGTTGTATAGTTTTTTTGGGAAACA